AGTATGTCTAAGACTTGCAGATTCTGTCCGTATAACATCGCTGAGGCACAGTCTTTCCTATCCCTCCACACACCTAAAAACTCTTGTCCATGCTCATCTCACATCTCATTTACTGCAACAGCCTTCTGTCTGGTCCTTCACATGTAATCTTGCCCCACTGATATCAGGGCAGAATGCTGCTGCTACTAAGATCATTTTGCTAGCCCTTCGCTTTGATCACGTCACCCCTCCTCTCTTTGCATCCCTTCACTAGCTCCCTTTTCTCTATTGTATCAATTATAAGCTCCATGGGCTTGTTTACATGAACATTTAGGGATTGTCTACACTGCGGAACTTTTAGCGACAAGGCTGTGTCGACACAGCCTTGTCGTTAAAAGTCAGCAAGTGTGAACGCTCTTTTGCGGTATTTTGTCAGCACTTTTGCCGACAAAATACGTCCAGCCCCGCGAGCGGCATAAGCTTTGTCGGCAGGGGGGCTTTTTTGAGTTCCCGTGAAAGACAAAAGTTTTGGCGACAACTATGCAGTATAGACATACCCTTAGTTTGCAGCCAGCTGGGGTGTGAATCTAGCCTGCGCTAGCCTGCTGTGCTCTTGTCCTGTTTCAAAGAGGACTAGATCAAAGCACATTAACAAGCTGTTAATACGCATTAGCAAGGTGCACATAGACAATTAGTCTGCAGCAGCTCCTGGGAGTAGATTCACACCCCAGCTTGCCACAAACTAATTGTTTGTGCAGCCAAGCCCCTTGTCCTCACTTTCAAGGCCCTTCACAACCTATCCCCACCCTACCTATCATCTCTCATTCAGTATCCAGAGGTTAGCCCCTGCTTGCACTCAGCCCACATCAGCCTCCATCGCCCACTTGTTAAATTTTTAAACAAGCACCTTTGTGCTTTCACTCATGCTGTCCCTCACTTTTGGGAGAAGCTCCCCATAAATATTCACACAGTTACCCTATTATCCACCTTCAAATCCCTACTCAAAACTTCCCTTTGGCATGAAACCAAGGCAAAACTTGACAGTTTTGGCTGCTAGTGGCAGATCCCACTGCCTAATATGTTGACGATCATTGTCTCATTGTTTCTGTGTACTCCCCCATTGGTCTGTCTGTAACCCTCTGTTATCTTTTGTCTTATACTTGGATTGTGGGCACTTTGGGGCTTGGACTATCTTTTTGTTCTGTGTTTGTACAGCAGTTAGCTCACCTGGTCCCGGACTGGGACTTCTCGGTGCTACACTAACAACAATACAAGAGTATGACTCTTTTCCCCACAGCTGTGAACGCTGGCATGGCATAGAGGAACAAAGGTATAAATTGTGTTGCTTTCAACAACCCTCCCCCACTTGACACGTAACTCAAAGGCAGATGCCATGATAAAACTTTTATTGGGATTCCTGACAAACCCTCTCCTCTAAAAACAATCCCAAATCTTCTACTCCGGGTCCAGATTGAAGATGCTGACCTTAAATAAAAAATAAAAATAAAAAATAAAAAAATAAAAGGACACCATTTCTCCTGCTCCCCCTCTCTGTCAATAACCCTGCAGGCCAGCTAGCATGATCAGACTCCTTATACTTCTGTTCCAGCCTCTTACTGAGTTACTTGAACTGACTTCACTCTTCATCTAAATGCAAGGCCTTGGTTGGTTTCGCTGCTGCCAGCCCCTAAGTTATGACTGCCTGTGAGCAGGAATGGATTACGGCTAAGTGACATCCAGACTGAGCTAAAAGCAGAACTCCAAACTCACTCTTGTTTTTCCACAGCAAAGGGCGGACTCATATGCCCTAGAAGAGGGTCTTGCTTTCTGCTCTAACCAACATTCTTTCCAAATCTGGGTGTCTTTTTGGAACATGAGGCCAGGATTAGGCAATCCATGATTCAATCATACATGACCTTCAACTTCACATGGGGCAGCGGATTTGTGGGTTTCCCGTGCCTTTGCCTGATTAGCGTACATTATATTTCTTGCTGGGAGCTTGGCACTGAGAGACTGCTTACTCACATAGGAAATTCCCAGACTTTTGGGTAACTAGTTGCTACATTGCACGTCCCTTTGTGCTATGTAATGGGAAAGAGCATATGGCCATCTTAGAGCAGAGTATTCTTTTAAGGTTCATGCCCTCAGTTCAGAGCCAGAGCAGAAGTTTCCTGAATTCTTTTTAAGGCAGATTAGTGTATATATTTATGTTGGACTCATCAGGACTCTGTGAGCAACAGGAAAAGGTTAAGGATGAGTAATGAAAACATTTCAAAATAATGGATCAAGGTTCATCAATAAAGGCACCTCAAAAGATCCTATATATTGTACATGTAGCAACATACCCACGCATCTAAAATTGTCCTCCTGACTGAAGTGTACATTCAGAGAGAAATACCATATCCACAAGCAGGAGATTCCTTGAGGATGAGTGAAAATATCCCGAATGCTGATACCACAAAATGAAAATCTAATTTTGCTACAATCCTGTCCTGCTTTTTGCAAACAAGCATCCTGATAATATACTCTTGTTCTATATGCACAAGCAACATATGACAAAAAAATCCCTTTTGCCAGCTCACTCTGTTGCTATGAGACAAACTCACCACAACTGGATCTGAACAGTAACATGAGTTAGAAGGGCACTGGGATGTAATTGTTCAGAACTTTATTTTTATAATCTCAAATGTTTGCAATACTTTCTTTGGCCTTGGCAATTGTTTCTCTGTCAACTTCCCTTTTTTCCTTTGGCAAACATTGATTTTAAAATACAACAGAATATCTAGCATAGGCAGGCCATGTTGTGTTTAAAAACATGTTAGCACCACATTCTAAAAATAACTTCTTGCTCTGGTATAGACAAACCCTTAGTGGGGAAGTGTGTTATCGAGATAAATTCTAAATATTAAGCGATCCTCAATACATGACTGCACTAGAAAACTTCAGTCAGGTGGAACTGTTAGCCAATATATATTTCTAGAAGGCTTTGTATTCTTTTTACTTATGCTAACAGTGTGTAACTCTGAATCACATTCTCAGCATGCTTTTTACTTATGCTAAGCTTACAGTGAACTGTATGCACCCCCAGTTCCCTGTACATGTAGAATCTGTCAGAGGGCTGCATGTTCTGTTAAAGCTTGCCAAATATGACGATGTGCTAGTTACAGCTCATACAGACATGACAGATGATTTTGTGGCGGCTGTACTGATACGCAATCCTTACCAGCCTAGTGCCGATGCATGATATCTCTGGGTTTGCCAACTTCTGGAAAGCTATATTCAAAACAAGGTAAGAAATTGATCAAAAAGTGGGTGTAACTTTCCATTGTTGTACATGAGTTAAGTATGTGTTTAACCCTCTGTGTATGTAACTCATAATTTCAGAACAGATTTGAATGCTGCCAGACTTTACCAGTCTGGGAAACAAAGCATTAATCCTGTCATAGAATACTAGGGTTGGAAGAGACCTCAGGAGGTCATCTAGTGCAACCCCCTGCTCAAAGCAGGACCAATCCCCAGACAGATTTTTGCCCCAGATCCTTAAATGGCCCCTTTAAGAATTAAACTCACAGCCCTGGGTTTAGCAGGCTAATACTCAAACCACTGAGCTACACCTCCCCCAAACTGATGTGCCAAGCAAGACTTGAACTCACAACACCAGCATCACTCCATACTATACTACTCTATAATTACCATGCACTAACCAGTTGTGCTACTGGAGCACATTTCCTTTCTCTGTTGGGTTGTTTTGGCTTTGAATAAAAAAAGAACCCGAGTGAGCTAATTTATCTGATCTCTCATCAACGGTCTAAAAAGAACCCTACCAAAACCCATGTTCTAATGAAGGTTTTTCCAAACAGACCAAGTCAAATCAGTTATTTTTCTCTGACTGCACTTGTCCTTTCTGGGCACCTGATTTGGGGGTCCCATTGGCAGGTCTCTAGTCTGGTCCTATCCCTCGGAACACAGCCTGTGATTCCGCTCCAGGGGCAGTCAGTGGGACAGGGGTGCCTCAGGAGGTGACAGCTCTAGTTTGCACCAGGGATACTCAAGCTTCCTTGGACACTCTGCACCTGCTCTGTCATGTGAAGAGCTCCAGCCCTTTGCTCCCTGCCCCCAGGAGAGCTGTGACTGCAGCAGCCCATGCAGGGAGGGAAGGGCCTACTGAGGAGGTGGAAACATACTATACAACTTGTGCATCCACCTAAAACAGCTAAGGTTTGGCATGTCAGTCTAAAAAATGAACGATATACAGACAAGTTACAGACCTAGAATTATTCACTAGGTAATTTTTGCAAATAATTTAAAATGAAGAATAAGTTTGAGAAACCACAATCTGTTCAGAGAGAAAAATGTAGTTGTTGAATAAATAATCTAACTAGAGACTTATTCAAAAAATTCTAATTGCAGTCAATTGGATACAGCTGTGCAGTTTTGAGCATCGCTGGACATGTGATAGGCAAAAGTACTATTACAGTGTGTAAGCTAAAATATAAGAGAGCAGGTACTAAGATTTTGCCTGTTTATTAATAGAGATGACCACAGATAGATTCGTGTTCAGTCATCAGCTCTCTAATGTGTGGGTGTGTGTTTTTGTTTTGTTTTTAGATTTTCTGTTGGACTAAACACACATTTATTGGCCTGGAGACGATGTCATAGCTTAAGTTCTGTTTGCGAAGATCCCGGTGGTTTGTATCAGTGGTTGTGTTGCTTGGAATCAGCTCCCTGCAACAAATACTGGTCTTAGGAATAGTCTTTTGGTTCTATGATTGAATAGATGGAGAAAGAAAATGGTACTTCACACTTAAAAAAAAAAGTAGCAAACTGTCAGTTCTCACATCATAACCCACATTTTTTAAAACTTGGATCGCAAGATGATTGTACTATTTGTGCAATTATGACCTGAGTTTCAGGGGAACTGAGCACTTGCTACTGCTTTGACTTCAGCTGAAGTTTATGGGTACTCAGCACTTGTGAAAAATCAGCCCCATAATTTCTGTAGCCATTCACTGTGCTGTTGGGGGTGGGGAGGGGAGGTTGTTTGAATTTCAGTATGTGTCATGAATTCTTAGATTGCCTCAGGGCCTGCTTCTGATCCCACTGAAGTCAATGGAAGTTTTGTCAGGGGCTGCAGAGCGCCCTAGGTTAACCCCCCACCACACCTGACCCTCCTCTTTCCCTGTCAACCTCCCCTCCCCACCCCCAACAGCCTGACCTCCAACACCCATCCTCTCCAAATTGGGTGGGGTGAGTGGTATTGCAACCTGTCACACAGGGTCACAGCACCACTGATCCCATGCACCAGGTCACAACACTCACTCATTCAAATTTGGCCCACGTGCTACTTCATCATGATGGAAGGGTGGCCAATCCCAATTTGAGTGAGTGGTACTGCAATACCACGCACCAAGTCACAGCACCACTCAGGTTTGGCCTGGACAAAAAATGATTGGGCCATGTCCAGCGTGGTTATTCTCTTCTCCCCTTCCCAGCTCTACGAGTTTTGCCATTGACTTCAGTGGGAGAAGATCTGGGACCAAAGGTGCGTACCAGCACCAAAACCGAACCCATTTAGGCCTGTGCTGTTGAAAAGTTATATATAGTTAAAAAAAAAGGAAATACCGAAGGAATCTGCATAAAATAACTGGGGGCAGTGTCATATTTTGAAAGATTTTTTTTTAAAAATAGGTACACATGACAACAGCTTTCCCTATTTGTGGCATCATTTCAGTTTAGGCAATAAGGGGATTTGGTTGGGTGGGAAGCTAGAGGTAATTGGTCCTTTGCCCGTCCAAGAGGCAAACCATTCCTCTCTTCCTGCTACCCTGTTCTTCAGTAGAGGGAAGGATCAGGTCAATAGGGAACACAGGCCTTTAGGCACCCACATAACAAGACAGTGAACATGTGTAAACCGTTTTTCCTCATTGGTGAATCAGGCCAAGGGCCCATTTTTGCACATCTCATAAAGGAGGGGAGGGAATGCACAGGGACGTCTGAGGGAAGGGGCCACATATTAGAAGTGGAGGTGTATATCACAGAAGGGGAAGCCATAGTGGAGGCCAGTTATATCCAGGGCAGGGGTCATACAGGTTACTAGACAATATGCGTATGGGGAAGATGAGCATGTATGGGATCGATGTTCTCATAAAACAAGACAGGGGATGCTATCATAGTTGTCAAAAGTTAGACTCAGGTAGGTTTGTTTTATTAGACCACTTTGTTTTATTAGTACAGCGCTCTGCTAATACATTCAGATAATGTGAGGCCCGCCTGCAAGATTCAAACAGTCTTATTTATACAGATAAAAGGGTGCGAACTAAACAAAGGGACAGAGAGCAAAATTGTAAAATTTTCATGGGGCACAATATGCATATCCTGCTTCCTTATTAACTCTTATCGATCTAAGGCTAATGTTTCACCAATTGCCCTTAAGTGATTTTAGTCAGTTAGTCAACAACGTGCCATCGCTGGTAAATAGTATCAGTGGCCAATGAGGGTCTGGCTGGAGAATCTTGCCTGCATGCTCGGGGTTCTACTGATCGCCATATTTGGGGTCGGGAAGGAATTTTCCTCCAGGGTAGATTGGCAGAGGCCCTGGAGGTTTTTCGCCTTCCTCCGCAGCATGGGGCAGGGGTCGCTAGCTGGAGGAGTCTCTGCGACTTGAAGTCTTTAAATCACAGGATTTGGGGACTTCAACAGCTGAGTTAAGGGAAAAGGGGTGGGTCAGCTTTCGTGGCCTGCATCATGCGGGAGGTCAGACTAGATGATCATAATGGTCCCTTCTGACCTTAAAGTCTATGAGTCATTAAGCAGTTAATGTCTGCTTTCCTGCCCCCTGGCTTGCAGCATTTCTCATTTCTACTTAAAGGTACATACAGCATTCTTTAATTCATTCTAGTTCTTTAATATAATTCATTTCACTTTCACATAGTGAAGCATATGAAGGATAGTCAATGGGATAAAATTGTCTGTGGGGGAAAGCCAGATATCACTAGCTTTCCCCTTGCAGTGGGCTCCACTAACCGTTAGATTACCCCCAGCCATTTCCTACAGCAGAGGCTGGCAACATGCACCGCCTACCCTATACCTTGTTTAACCTTTGTTCTTGACATTTCTGGTCAGATAAGGGCCTGTGACAGATGTCATTTCAGACAGATATTTTTAAGAGTTACACATTAATAGCATCATGAACATAGGAAAGCAGATGTGTTCAGAATATTTAAAAGAAGAAATAGGCTGGGGGAACCTTTCTAGATGGAGCATTTGTCTTTTCTAGGTAGGGCCTACCTAGAGCAGACAAGTGCTCTAAGGGACATGTTTGGTGGGTTTGACTCGGCCCCTAGTGGAGGTGATTTCCATTAATAAAAAACATCACAGAAATTGGGTCCAGTTCTTATCATCATTAAAGACTGAGCTGGTTTAGGGACCAAACTACTAGTAAATAGTTGTTAGCCCTGGAGTGGATGGCCCCTCCATATTAGCATTGAGGCAAGGAAGCAGAGCTGATGGGGAAGATGATCTTTAATGTCTTATTCCACACCCATCATTTTAGCATCTGGGAACCTGAACATTAGCTGTCTGACTGTATGTTGGCTCATAGTTTTAAAAACAAAACTGCACAATACAGAGGACTTCCTCTTCTATTACCAGTGAAGATATGTTACAAGAAAGCATTATAGAAAGTCTTCCTGGCACTTTGACCCCTCTCCTGTGCAATCTCACAATGATTCTCTCCCAGACAAGCTTCTCCCTGCACAGGACTTAAGTTATTCGTTCTTCTTTAGGGTACAATTGTTTTAGTCCCTGAAGTTCATCCTTCTGGGAGCCTAGGTGCTAAGTCCCACAGGCCTTCTCTCTCAAGTTCAGGAGTCTGGCAGTCCTGGGCCTGCATACTACAAGCCAGGCAGGCTTACCCTTCTTGTTCTGAAAAGTTTCACAGCCCTCCTCTTGGGCTCTGCGCTAGTAAGTCAGCTGTCCCGCCTAGCATTGGGAAAGCACAGCATCAGCAATCCTTCTTCTGAGCCTGTCTCGCAAGCAGCTCTTCATAATTCTCCTCTTCTGCTAGGAAAACTCCTTCTTAACTAACCTCTGGTAGCCTTTTATCAGGTACAGGTGCTCCTTAGTCAATTAGCTGCCAACCAGCCACTTAGGCAGCTAATTACTACAGGTGGGCCAAGAAAGCCTTGTTCTCTTTAGAAAGCCTGTCATGGATAGACTGGACCCTGACTCTTCTTAAAGGGGCCAGCCACCATGCCAAACATCTTTGATGAACTGGCTTATAAAGTGGCCACCCTTAAAACCTGCTTAGTTCTATAGTAGGGGTTCCCAAACTTGATTCGTGGCTTGTTCAGGGTAAGCCCCTGGCAGGCTGCGAGACGCTTTGTTTACCTCAGCGTCTGCAGGTACGGCCGCTGCAGCTCCTTGTGGCCGCAGTTCACTGTTCCTGGCCAATGGGAGCTGTGGGAAGCGGTGGCCGAGCCTGTGCCACTTCCTGCAGCTCCAATTGGCCGGGAACGGCGAACTGCGGCCACAGGGAGCTGCGAGCGGCCATACCTGCAGATGCTCGGGTAAATAAAGCGTCTCGTGGCCTGCCAGGGGTTTATCCTGAACAAGCCGCCAACCAAGTTTGGGAACCTCTGTTCTATAGGAAATTGCCAACTAATAACAGCCAGGTAGCTGGGCAGTAGGACTTTCAGATGTTTCTCTAATTTGTTAATATACAAATTGATTCAAAACCATCTAGCTGTGCCTATGTAAACACCTTTTTGTTGTTGTTATACTCACTTGTTGCATCTTTATTATTTAGCTTGTAAATTCTTTGAGGTATGGACAGTGTTTTCTACTCCAGGCTTGTACATTTTTAACATAAAGAAGCCTCAATCCTGATTCTGAACTCTGTGTATTACTGGAAAAACAATAGAATGGATTAGCAATAATAGATGATATTTCACCTAGTGGCTAAATCAGAAACAATAGAGATGGAAAACCTGTTACATTTAGGGTTAGATGTAAAACATTTGTGTGCATGCGCGTGATCACATGCTTTCATAAATGCTTGTTTTATGACTACAATTTTGTCATAACCCATTCCTATAAAAATCAGAATCATTTCCCTAATTTTGTGTCTGGCTAGTTACAAATTCACAAACAGACAGGGTTCTCATCAGCGTCAGAGCCCAGCAGCTATCTGTTTAATGTCTCGGTCCTCTTGCCCGGTATAATTTAGTTTTTCTCTTTCCATTCAACATGACGGAGTCAGACATATTGCCAGAGCAGGATATAAAAATGCTTTTCTTTGCTTTAAGCAGGAGAAACATTTACATAAAACTGCTTAACGTTTCTACCAGATCATTCACTAGAGGAACAAAATTAAGTCTTTCATCTCCCTCAGAGGAAATGTAATTGGCTATTGTCAACATTTTCAGTCTCATGTAAATTTCCTGTTCTTTCTGGGGTTATTCATGTTGTAGGAGGTTAATAACATCATGTATCCTCAGAGTGGTACAATGTTCATTGTGACATAGTAAATTTCTGTGGCATGTAGCAATATGGAATGTACCTCCATAAAGTGTCCCCCAGAGCCATTGGTATCTATTTGTAGGATCTTTTCTGATGGTCTGCGGAGTCCTTTTCATATTGATGCTGGGAAGATGGAGGATGGGGAGATGGTCCACAAGAGGATTTCCTCTAATGAACTGGTATAAATGAAAACATTCGAGAACCACTGATATAAAGCCCTGGATGAGTAAAAAACAAGAGGCTCTGTTATCTGTTCCTTAAGTTCTGTAGATGAAATCCAACCCCATTAAAGTCAATAACAAAACTCTGATTGAGTTCAGTGGAGGCAGGATTTCACCCCTTGTATTGTTCTGAGTTTCTGATGGATGGTTATGTTGTTTCTTCTTTTCTCTCAGTCTCCTCTCCCCTCCCCGCATGCCAGTAGTCTCATATTTTTGTTTTAGAAATTAGTTCCTAGCATTTCTATCTTTCTAAGGAACAAAACCCTTTTTTAAAATAAGAAAAGTTTTCAGAATTTTTATTGTTGAACAGTTAAGGCAGCGGTTCTCAACTGTGGGTCAGGACCCCAAAGTAGATTGCGACCCCATTTTAATGGGGTCACCAGGGCTGTCTTAGACTTGCTGGGGCCCAGGGCCCAAACTGAAGCCCAAGGGTTTCAGCCCTGGCTGACAGGCTCAGGTTACAGGCCCCTTGCCTGGGGCTGAAGCCCTTGGGCTTCGGCTTTGGCTCCCACACCCAGAGCAGCAGGGCTCAGGTGGGCTCAGGCTTCAGTCCACTCTCCTGCGGTCATGTAGTAATTTTTGTTATCAGAAGGGGGTCGAGGTGCAAGGAAGTTTGAAAACCCCTGAGTTAGGGAGCCAAGTATAAATATGGAGTAACTCCTGACTTAAAGGAAGTTATTTTGGTTTTACACTGTTATAAATGAGAGCAAATCTGGCCCAGAATCTCTTTTCACTTTATGATATTTCTTCTTGCACCTTTCTCCCTTCCTTCCATGGCATTAGTTCAAATGTGTGAAAGAAAAGTGAGTGTCTGTGGGTTGAAGACCAGGGACAAGAAGGGCAGTATCAGCAAGAGATCTTTAATTGTTCCGGGAAGAAGCATCTGGGTGAAATGTTACTGTCAGGCACAGAATTATTTCCAGACCACTCTGCTGAATTGAGGCCAGTTTATTACTCTTGAATCTGGGGCTTATATGCTGTGGGTTTTGCTGATCCAAATGCTGATTTTTGAGGGAAGATTAGGTCTCTGGTTACAGAACATCACATCAGATTAGAAAAAAATGTTTTCCCGACTGAGTCTCTGCAAATTTTCACTTGTCACTGGCCTGACTTTATTGAAAATTAAAGATAAAATTAATAACATTAATTACCATCTGATTTAGGCTTTGCTCCTGTAAGCCCTCTGGGTGGGGAAAGCTCACACGGGCTTAAAAAGGGATTCCATGTGCAGAAGACTTGCAGAATCACATCTCTAGGGTTCATTTTATAAAAGCACAATCCAGAGCAGAAGGGAAGGTATTTTGGATTTCCTTGTAATAACTAAAGACTTTTATTCATTACTGAAAGTCACAGGAGGCTGATACAAAAAAGGGAAGTGTTATTTGTTAGCCAGATTGGAGTGGTTGTGGCTTTCAGAAGTGCTTTGTTTGAGGTTGGGAAAATCCTCCTTGTATAACAACTAAAGTTATTCATCTACTGGTGACTGGATGACTCCAGAGAGAGCTCCCAATGAGTTCAGAGTAAGGCCCGGTTGACATTTAAAAATTAGATCAACTAAGCTACGTCACTCATGGCCGTGAAAAATTTCACTCCCTGTGTGCCATAGTGTGGTCAACCTAATCCCCAGTGAAGATCCAGCCAGGTCAAAGGAAGAAATTCTTTCGACGATCGAGCTGCTGCCTCTCAGACAGATGGATTAATTACATCAATAGAAAAACCTCTTTTGTTAATGTAGGAAGTGTCTATGCTACGGTGCTACAGTGGCACAGCTGCAGCGTCATAGCTGTGCCACCGTAGCAGCTATAGTGTAGACATGGCCTAAATAAAGGCCCAATCTTGCTGCCTTTGAAATTAGTAGCAAAACTCCCATTGACTTGAATGGCAGCAGGATTGAGCCTTAGAATCTTCCGTGGAAGTTGGAGCAGCTAGCACTCAGCTGCCTCACAGGATCAAACCCTAGACTGGTATTGTTTTGGGTGAGCAAGTTCAGATGAGAGGGTCACCATGAATCTGATCTTTCAGCCCCTTATACAAGCAAAACTCCAGTTCAAACCACTAGGCTTTCCTGGGATTGCATAAGTGTAACTGAGAGCAGAATTTAGACTGATTTCAATAGGAATTTCACCAAAAAAAGGCGTACAGAGTCAGACTCTGTCTACACCAGACTTGACAACATCCATAACATCATTGTCATGTCTTCTTTGTTCATTTTTACATGAGTGCCCTCAGGCTGAGTTGTGTAATACCTTTTTTGAATGACAGTCAAACTTCCAGATGGCTAGCCAGTCTCCAGCACCAGTTTCACTGGAGAGACATTTGTTAGGGAGAGGTCAGAGTCCAGATTTGCACCTCGTTTCCTTTTCAATTGTTTGTTTAATTTTCCTATATTTGACTTCCATTCAAATGCATTATTCATAACGGCAAAGAAATAACTGTTATTCCACAGTGGACTTTTATTGTACGTGTAATCAAGAAGCTATAAAGGAGGCAGGCAGTTGGCTTTATAGTCTACTAGAGGGTATTATTGTGGAAAGAATATCACTTCCAGGTGCCCTTACATTCTTGTTTGTTATGGTCATGAGGGAGAGCAATGAATACTCTAATGCAGATAACACTGATTTTCTTCACCTGTCTATGAAGAATCAGGAAACTATTTTAATGATGTAACCCTGAGTTATATCCAATTGTACTAAGGGCCCCTGAGCTCTCTGCTGGAAATACCATTAGAGAATCCTTTCCCTTGGAAAATATTTTCCATTATTCATTGCAATAATTTGCACAAACTATATCAACGATATAAAAGTGATAGCAAAATACAGATAATTTCTTGGAAATAAATATGAGATAAAGTCTGATTGAAACTTAAAACACAAGGGTAGTAGAAAAAAATTACATTGGTTTGGGATCCTGGACTTGCCATACTGAATACTGGAACAGGGCCCAGAAATATTACTAATTGAAGGGACCAGTGACAATTTGAAGGTTCAATTTTTTCACAAGTCACCAAGGCTAGAATTTTTTTGCTCTACAAGGTCTGTAGGCTTGGGCCTAAATGCTGTATCTCATTGAAAACCTGCTGACCAGCATGATACAGCATTTACTTCTACTCCTGGTGGTTCATAAGATGGCAGGCTTTAAAGCTACATTTTTCTGATTACCATTTTACCTTCTTTCGCCCCATTTCAGTTCTGATCTATTTTTAGCAGTGACTATCTCAGAAACGGCTAGAACCCAGTATTTTATGCAAGCGGGAAATCCAACTTCCAAAGAGCTATCTCCTGTGAGGTTCTGATACACACACTGTCAACTCCCACGGACATTCCAGTGAGTTGTCAGCTGTGCTAAGTAAGGCACCTCACAGAAAGTGTCCCTGACAGGATGACTGCTGACTTTATGACAGAAATGAAATAGGGGAAAAGTCAAGGTGGCGATTCAAATAACTGGTTTTTAAATATGGTTGTCAACTAATGTATTTTATTTCATAGGAGTTTTTGCAGAGTAAAGACTGCAGGATATGGGCCATAGGGAACTGTTTTGTGAAAAATGTGACTTTGGTATAATTGTTCCAGTGCATTTTCATGCTGTTGCTGGGCATGCTGTTACTGCTGTGCTGTGCTTACAGTGTCACTATCACTCTTTTGTTAACTGAACCTGATGGCCTGATATTTTGTTCTGTTACGTATGTACTTCTGTTTGCCTTGCAGTGGCAGGTCTCCAGAGGCATTGACCATTGAGCTGTTCTTCATTTCATGCTCATAATATCACTGTGCCAAGTACAACAGCTAGCTGGTGAGAAGCTGTTTCCCTATATGGAAGCAAAAAGGTGAAGCTCAGTGAAAATGTTTGTTTAAAAATGTTGTTTAATACACATAGAGATTGTTCTAGGTACATAAATACAAATTCTGCTAGCAGTATTGTGAGTTTTTTACCCATTATCTTATCTTTGTTAAATCTGCTGTTTAATCCAGCTTTGTTTCCTTTTGATGTCTGCGTCTTCTCTTTTTCAAGTAATTTCACAACCGAAGGACAATGTTCATGGGTGAGGAGTTCAAGTGCAGACATGTGCTCAGATTTGGGGTTGCGGTTCTGGCTCTGGCCCTGGTCCTGCCCCATCTTTCTAATGGGACAAAACTGCAAAGCTTGGATATGGATCTAAACTTTCCTAAGGGGCTGGGTTAGGTCTCAAGTTCTGGTTTATGTCCTTTCCTAGGTTTTTTTCATTTTAAAAGGAATGGGAAGGCAAAATTCAGGAGCTACCTTTAGGTGTTTGTTTAAATAGATGGCTCTCCTTTTGTTCCTTTATATAGGAAACACTAATTTGTAAAATTACAGTAGTGCGTTTTTTTTAAATGGAGGGAAATGTTATAAAGAAAATCCCAAAGACAAGCAGATTAGCCATTTACATTTAAAGTTCCCTTTCATATTACCCCCCACTTACTGCATTAGGGGAGTGATCATGACACCATCCCATCCTAATACTCTTCCCTACCAAGAATATTTGAGAGGTGTTTGAAAATCAAAAGCTCACTTGAGCACTGAGCTAGGAGCAATACTTAGGATTTGTGCTCCCTGGACTGGTAGCAGTTGAGAGTGTAGCAGAGATGGGAGGTTTCAGTTCTTGAGGGAGGAGTGGGGTAGTCAGCACGGGGCACCGCTTGTGCTCCATTCAACAACTGTTGTGTTAGCAAGAAGGGAAGGTGGGAAAATCGTGTCCCAGAATTACAGGGATGGCAAGTCTTCTATCCTCCTAGACCTGCCCTTCTTTCATTGTTAATAGGTGAGAAAAAACAGTGATAAAGAGTCAGCATTGAAATCTGGATACTCTCCTGCCATAAAAACTGAGCTGAGCAAAACCCTACTACATAGGCCATTACAGGGGAACAGGAGGGAAAAAGTAATTTGGTACCGTGCTACTCCACTGAAGTGTCACTTACTTACCTATAACTGGTACAAGTAGGCATTGCATGTGTAAAATAATAAGAATCAGAAGTTCCAAAACAAATGTAGCACTTTAAGCACAGTTGTAGGTAAAGTGCCATATTGATGCAGTCTGATACGCTATGTGTTGGTTTCTTTGTAAGAACTAAGGTCCTGCTCGTACAAACAGTTACACATATCTAACTTGATGTTTATGAGTAGTCTCACTGCCTTCTGTGGAACCACTTATGTGTAAAGTTAAGCCCATGTGCAAGATTTTGCAGTTTTGGGCCCGAGTTGCAAATGCAATAATCTGGAAATAATTTTGTCATCTTTTCCTAATTGTTTATTCTGCTCTTCATGGGACAGATTCTGCAACCTGCTATCAAATTGGCTGAGAAATGTTTTCCTGTGTCAGAGATTACTGCCTATCATTGGAAATGTGGTGTTCATGTTTTACAAGCACCAGGAAACAAACCTGGGAAAGAGCTACTGATTCATGGCCACACTCCTCATCATGGACAAGGGTTCTGCAATCCCTTTTTGGCGAACACCTTTGACATAAGGAAATCTGTTTTTAGATTACAGTCCCTGGGACATTTGGAACCAACAAAGTGTTTGCTTTGTTTGTAAAATTAAACTTATTTTAGCATGCATTTCCTTATTAATGTCACAACTGGGATGTGAGTGGTCTGAACTACTGGTCAGAGCAGGAGTCCGGCAGGATCAGGTAACCAGGAGATCAGAAGTAGGAGACAAACTTAACAAACACAGGTCTAGATGTAAAAAATACGAACAAGTAACACTTTAAATGTTTATTGTGTTTGTTAAAAAAAGTACATGATTTGCACAACTATGCCTTTCACCCCCAAAATTACCATGCCGTATATCCTGCAGAAATTATTATGGGACAGTTCTAATAGATATATTTTTTGTAAATGGTTAACATTTTTTTCCTTTTGTTTCTTAATGTGTCTGGATGATTAAGGAGAGGAGTTCACTGAGCTTCAGTTGATTAGTTGTCTCCTGTTAATATTTAACAACTTGGTACCAGATTGTAACCTGTTACTTAAGGGAACACTCCCTTGTTATATAGAGAGACGAAACACCTCATCCCACTGTTTGTCCTTTCATCCCTTCAGTACCAGGTACCTCCTGGGGCAAAATGCACTGTCTGATTCACCATTGCCTTTGAAATGCTAAAACCCTGTCACATCAAAGAAGGTTGCTGCCTTCTATCTCTACACAGAGGTTGTGGTGGAACCCCGCAGTGCAGCGGCTAACATTCATAGGGCCTGATTTTGATCTCGCTAATGGTGGTATAAACCAGAAGTAACTCTTTAAGTCATTTGAGTTACACTGGTATGAGTAGAAAAAAGCCTTGTGAAACCCTTCTCCTATTAAAGTCAGTGGGACTCTTGCCATTGACTTATATGGGGCCAAGGTTACAGCTGTACTAATTGGTCTTGTATGAAGAATCTTCTCCTGAATAATCCCATGCCACCTGTTAAAAAACTCATTGAACATATTTCTCATTGGGAGAGGTCATTTTTCTGTATACTCCATCCATTCTTTCTGTAGATGCGCTCTATTTTAAATTCTAATCCTGAGACCACTGCTTAGCATGCTGACCAATATTGTCTCATTGTTCACTTGTGGTCCTCCCCCTGTCTCTCTCTATCCAGCCGTTGTGTCTTGTTTTATAGTGAGATTATAATATCTTTGAGGCAGAAGCCACCTTTTTGTTCTGTGATTCAGATCGGTTCCTCTGTGCTACAGCAATACAAATAAATAATATTTATTGAAAGCTGAACAAAATAAAGGTATAACAAGTATGCCCACATCTTAAATTCCAGACATAGATCAAATAAAGCTATAGTAAAAAACACAGCAGATTAATTTAAATTTAAAAAATCCTCAAATGTAAACTGTGCTGTCAGCACCAACTACAGCAACCACTAACCAGAAATGAAATGAATTAGGCCCTCAAATTCCCTATCCCACCCAATGTTTGTAACCCTCTAGTAAAGGGGCACATAATGCAGACATCTGAGGTCAATAGATTGCAGTTCTCCCGCAGCTATAACCCTTTCTGTTCGCAGACTTTTTTCTACTTGGCTTGTTCAGCAAGAGCTATATTCACAACAGGATTTAGGCACCTGACTGCCATATTAGGCATCTAAACCCCAGAATCAAGCTCCAATGGTATGTACAAAACACCCCCTGCTGAACCTTGTAGGGACCTAAACTCCCTTGGTGCATACATTTTTCCAGTAAAAGTTCCTTAGACACCATGTTTCTGCCTTAATCAGGCACTCTGCAGTTCTACTTTGGATGAATAATTAAAGAATCATTGGAGCAGGTGGACTGGATGCTGTCTCCCCCACATCCTGGTTGAATGCTTGAACCACCAGGCCATAGAGTCATTCTTATGCTTGTGCTCTCTCTCTGGCCCAGTGACTCTCTGATTATTTATCCACAGTGGAACAGCTTCAAACAGGGGAAGTTGAGGTGCCCTGATTCAGAATATTTCATAGCCTGCTGGTTAGGGAACTCACCTGAGAGAACATAAGAACGGTCATACTGGGTCAGACCAAAGGGCCATCTAGCCCAGTATCCTGTCTTCTGACAGCCTTGTGGTTAATATGAGCCTAACGCTGGGGTGGCCAACCTGTGGCTCTGGAGCCACATGTGGCTCTTCAGAAATTAATGTGAGTCTCCTTGTATAGGCACTGACTCCAGGGCTGGAGCTAAAGGTGCCAACTTTCCAATGTGCCAGGGGGTGCTCACTGCTCAATCCCTGGCTCTGCCACAGCCAATAATGGCAAAGTTCTTGGTTCAGGCTTGTAGCAGTGATAGAATAAACTGCAAGTTCAAATCAAGTCTCTGG